GGAGTTCCAATGCTGTTTCTTCCTCAGGGATGTGTTCTGGGTCTGTATCCTGCTCCCTTGTTTCTACCACTTTATCTTGCTTCTTTGTGTGGCTTGTGATGGTCTGTTGTCTCCGAGATATTATGATGTTGTTGTATGTATATCTCTCTTAACTGTTTGTGAAGAGCACCTAAGAGTGAGTCAGGCTCTTCTTGGTGGTTGTTTATTGTAGGCCTGTTGTTGGAGAAGAAGGTGGTGACTCTCACTCAATAAGTGAAGCTGCAGGAGGTGTGGGTGTAGTTGTATCGTATGGGGACTGTTGCTGTCTCACCCTCAGTTAGACAAAATAACAATTGAATAACCATCAAAAAATAAAAGCAAATGGACAAAAAACACACCATGTAATCACACAGGAACAGTAACCAAAAAAGAGAAAAAGGAAAAAACCAAACCAAAACAACAACAACAAAAAAAAACCACTGCAATATCTGGGGAGAGGGCAATGAGAGAAAAAAGTAGAGAAGGAGACTAATGAAAAAATGGGAAAAATGCAAAAAGAAAAACAAGGAATGGGGTTACCCATAAGAAAGAAAAGAAAAAAAAAAAAAAATGAAACCAGGAACAGGGAAAAGAAAAAAAGCTGAAAACTAGAACCTGGGAAGGGAAGAATAAAGAATGATAATAAAAAGGACAAAAGTAATAATAATAGTAGTAGTAGTTTTAAAACCAACAAAAACTAACTAAAAAAAAGAAGGAAAAAAAAAAATCTGGTCAGGCCGGGGCAGGGCACCCAGGCTCTGTCGGAGCACACAGACTGGGATGGAATTCCTATCAGCCTAGAAGGTGGACGGGAGTGAGGGATGGCCGTACCTCTGTTCACCAAGAGGGTGTGAGATAAAAGAGTAACAAGGGGAATGTTGCACCTTTCCAATAGTCTGTGGGTCCAGGGTGTCCTTTTGGTTCCCAGCAACTGGAGCCTGTTCTTAAGTCCCTGGAATCTGGGAGAACACTGTCGCTTTAAATATCCAAAATCATCAAGCCCCTTGTAAACATTCAAAATGGCTGCGCCCCCTGGACAGGCAAGTCCACAGCTCAGCCCACCTTCCTTTTCGCTGCTTCGCCTTTTATTTCCCAGCCACCAGAACAGTCCTCCGTGCAGTCCCTGGCTAGCAGGGCTGATTTTTAGGTTAATTCTTAGGTCCTACTGCCACTCGGCAATATCCAAGCTGTCTGTGCCATCAAGATCGCTGCCAAACTGCAGCTCCGTATGTCTCATTTTTTGGTGTTTTCATGCAAATTCTTCTGCTAGTTGGAGTTTAGTCCACTTCTATATTCTTCCCTTCAAGGCTCAGGGGTCCAGGTTATCTTCTATATCTGTGTGAATTGGTTCCCCTTTTCTTTGTTGAAGAGGGTCTGTGCATTCTTTCTGCCTATTCCGACATCTTACTGGAACTCCAGCCCTTTCCTTCTTCTGAGTCTCTCTTAGTCTGGAAGTTCTGCTGAATCCTGTCCACCATGGGTGCTCCTGCTGGTATTTGAAATACCAGTGTCATGGCTTCCAGTCTCACAGCAATACACAAGCCACCACAGTATGACAGACTGACAGATGAGTGGTGGATTGCGTTGGGTAATAACCTCCAAAATAAAGTTTAGTAGTGATGGAGATACTGTTGTTCGTTGTTGTTAGCTCTTGTTGAGTTGGCCCTGAATCAGTTTGTTGTCTTGGTGACCTGGTATGTTAAGAGAGTAGAATAACTCCGGACAGTTTTCTTGACTATATTCTTTATGGAAGCAGTTCTCCAGGCCTTACTTCTGTGGAGCCACTGGATTGGTTCATACCACCATCCTTTGGGTTAGCAGCTGGTTGCAAACCACTTGCTCCACCCATGCTTCTGTGGAGAAACTAGGTATCTTCATCTTGTTCTTGACTAGTAGGAAAGCCTCTAGTGTTTCTACGTGTACAATATAGGGACATTGATTACATTCTTTGAGTTATACAGCCATTCTCATTCCTTTTCTGAGTTGCTCCTCCCTCATTGACATCAATACACTTCCTGCTAAGGTTCCTGTCTTGTCTTTAGAGTTGCTGTTGTCAGTTTCATTCCATATACACAGTTTCTAAAAGACTATAATGATCAAGGCAGATTTTTTTTTAATTAATTAAGCTAAACTGGTTTTTTTTTGTTTTGTTTTTTTATTGTGATTTGGGTGAAAGTTTACAGAGCAAATTGGTTTTCCATTCAACAATTCATACACATTCTGTTTTCTGACATTTACTGCATTCTCCACACAGTCACAGCATTCTTCCCACTTCTTCTCTGTGCCCATCCCTTCATTTTATTCTTCCTTCCTATCCTGTCTCACCTTCCTAGCTCTATCCCTGGGGAAATGCTGTCCTCTTGATCTTATATGCTTGATTGTTCTAATGATTATATGCCTTCCCGATACTACTGCTTGCCTTAGAGGTCTTTCTTTTGGCTGACAGTTGAGTCACAGTGAGTTTCACCATATGTGTGAACATGTGAACATTTTCACATGAATTTTACCATAAGTGAAGCCTGTGTTTACCTTGTTTACTGGATAATCTGCCCTGGTTGTGCCTTGGATGCTCATTTGCAAGTTTTTAAGACCCCAGGAACTATGCAGTAAACTAGAAGGTAGAATAGAAGCACTATACACATTGTTGTTGTTGTTGTTATATGCTGTCGAGTCAGCCCCGACTCATAGCGAACCCCTCCTTGGGTTTCCGAGGCAGTATCACTACGGAAGTAGATTGCCCAACCTTCCTTCCGAGGAGTGGCTGGTGGGTTTGAACCACCCGCCTTCAGGTTAGCACTCAAGTGCCTTAGGCACTATGCTATCAGCCTTAATTTTATAATTAGGCAAATATTCAGAGAAATTATGTAATTAGTTAAAGTCATACAGCTAGAAAGTGATAGAGCTAGGACCAGAATCAAAGATTTTATTTTCAATGTACTAAGTTGCACATTTTGTTCAATATTTTCCTTTAGGGAAACTCTAGATTCAGGACATTGCATTTTATAAACATGATTCTTGATAAATAAGTTATCTTCCTTATTAAGTGTGATTTTCAACAATTTACTACATGACGTGGTTGGTAGTTTTCTTCTTTTCTTTAAGGAGTAGAACATTGTAGATGAGTCTGAAGTTTCCTTAATTACCAACTTCAATTCCATCCCTCTCTTCGCTTTTTACAGGCAACCGCCATATGAGTTTGTTGTGTTTTCCTGCCAGTGTGCTAAACAACAACAACCCTTGTAATTCACACACATAGGAAATATGATACTATCTGAATTTTTTTTTTAATTATTCCAAGGAAAATATTGAACTCTACCTTATGTTCTGTATCTTCCTTTTTTCATCCACCATTATACAGATCTTGAAGTATGCAAGGCTTTTCTAAGCATGATATAAAATGCAGAATTTAGCTTTAAAATGTAACTCTTCAGCCAAGTCTGATATCTTTTATTATTACATATCTCTCAAAACTATTCTCATTAAGAATTTTCTAAAATTTAGAAATACGCTTTTAATTTTTATTAAACTTCTTTCTTTCTAAATTGTAACAGAATAGAGAGAGGAGAAACATGTGGATATAAAGCAGGTTTTGAATTTTATGCTTATCAAAAAGCCAAATAAAAATGCTTCCTGAATAGGAAGTGTGTTATTTTGTTTAGCCTGTAGAGAGATGGTTCATGTAGGAGTTATGCATTATAGACTTGCAAAAACAGACTTACTTGAATTAAAGTCAATTTGAATCTATAATAATGGAAGAGAGTAGGAACAAAAACAATTCAAAATCAATGTAATCCAAAATTCCAGCATTTATAATCCTCCTGACTCGGGAGTAGGGTAGTTGAGTAGAATTTTAGAATATCCTGTTCAATAATCTTTTCTGTTCTCCACATTGGAAATGAGAGGCTTCACCACTCAGATTCTGCAAAATATCAGTTTAAATAGAACTACATTCTGTTATAAGAGTGAAATGTTGATGATTTAGACTAGGAATTAGCACATTTTTTTTCTGTAAAGGGTCAGATGGTAAATATTGTTGCTTTATAGCTCATGTGGTCTCTGTCGCACCAACTCTGTTTGGCTGTTGCAGCCAATAGGAGCTATTCCCATTGCCGTGGAGTTGATCCCTACTCATAGCAATCCCATGTGTTGCAAAATAAAACTGCCCTCAGTAGGGTTTCAAGGCTGTGACTTTTTGGAAGCGGGCCACCAGGCCTTTCTTATGAGGTGCCTACATAAACAAATGGGCAAGTCTGACTGGGTTCCAATATAATTTTATTTGCAAAACAGTTGAGCAGATATGGCCCGCAGGCTGTAGTTGGATCTTTGCTGGGTTGGAGGCAGTGGTGAACTAGTAGATGTTTAACAATTGGTTTTTTGGGAGGAAGGAAGAAGACCTGATTTATAGCCTTTGCTCACTTACACAGTGTAAATACTCCCAGCATGGTAGATTTCAAGCTTAACTCGATCTAAAGGAAAGGCGAAAAGAGATGCGTAGTAGCATACCATTATACAGCATTTCCACCATACAGATGCAAGAGACATAAATAACTATAAAACTATGAAAGTAATAAATACTCAAAGCTCATTTTTATTACTTTCACTCATTATTTTACCATTATCTATGATTTTTACCATGTAAAAGCATAGATAATGGTAAAATAATGAGTGAAAGTAATAAAAATGAGCTTTGAGTATTTATTACTGTTGTTTTAAATATATTTAATTGAAAATTCATAAATTTCATTTTTATTATGCCTATGCTTAACATTTGGCTTGAAGAAATTTCTGAAAGTGTATTAATTGCCTCCAGTGAGCCAGTAAAAACCCATTCCAGCACCACTGGGTTGGAGGATATAATCTAAAATTTTAGTTTAATAAGTTGCCTGCTGGATCGTAAGTTATGTGGGAGAGTAAAAGCAAAAAGGTATTGAGAATTGTTTTAACACATAACTTTTGCACTAATCTTGGTCATCTGTTTTAATATGAACCTGAAAAATAATTTTGTTTGGGAAAGTGAGCGTTGACTCTGTGTCAAAGATGCTTTTCTTCTTAGATCTTTATCGAAACTTTTAAATGATAGCATATGAAGTAAACTTAGGTCAGTAGATTCTGCCAATGTGTCACATATAATAATAAACGCTACTTACTGTTTATTTATTTATTTTTTTTCTAAAGGCATAACTGTGACGCCTGATGAAGAACAAAACTTGAATCATTATGTGCAAGTTTTACAGAACATGCTACTAAGTGTTCCCACTAAGGAGGAACCAGGCCATGAGATAAAACCAAAAGCTCCAAATAATGTTTATTCTTCGGGATCGAAGGTATCAGAATTGAAGGAAATAATTACACATGGAAAATCTTTAAATGAGAATGATGTTTTAATCAATCCCATCAGTGACGAAACTACACCTTACCCTACTAGAGGCTTCACACTGGAGGTAGGGAGGAGAAAACGTACTAAAAGTACAGCATTCTGGTGGATCAAACCAAACAATGTTTCTGTTGTTTTACATGCAAAAGAACCTTATATTGAAAAAGAAGAAGAGCCAGAAGTAGTTACAAAATCATCTGGGACATCAAGGTTATTTTCACGTGTTACTGATTTTACCAGGAGTCCAACTTCCACCTCACGTATGCCATCTACCCCCACTTCACATGGAAGCACTGATTTGAGTGAATCCACAGAACTAGAAGATGTTCCTCAGCTCTCAGGTGGATTTGAAGCAGAAAAACCTGAAGCACCAGCATTTGGAAAGCACTTAGAGATTTTGAATAATGATATTTTGAAAAAAATTTCAGATATTCATTCCCAGGTGCAACAGGCAACTCTTGATGACAGCCTCATTGAAGAATCTAGAGATGACATTCAAGCATCAAAAGATCACTTGAGACGAAGCATTGCTCTAGCAGCAGCAGCAGAACATAAATTAACAAAAATATATGAATCCCAGATCTTACCACTAGGACAAACTGGTAATGAAATTGATAACATTGAAACTGTTATTAACATGCTGTATAATTCTAGATCTAAATTATCTGAATATTTTGATATTAAGTATGTTCCACCAGAGATGAGAGAAAAAGCTAGTACAGTATTCAGTATATTGAAAAAAATATTATGTGTAGGCCAAGAAGAAACTGAAAGCCTTATTAAGAAGGTAATAAAGAATAATATGAAAATTTTAAACCTACTTGATACTTCATGATTAAGCAAATTGTGCATTCATTCACAAGAGAAATAAGCATATTACTGATTTCAAAAGATGTGTAAGAATATTTTCTATTGTATTACAATGTGCTAACGTCTTTGCATGTCATGTATTATGAAAAAGTTTCATATGCACTAAAAAATGTAGTAATTTAAAATAAAATTTTATTTTGTTCAGTACTTTGTAGTCTTTTCTCCTTAATTTTTAAAGGCTGTGAAGATTTAATTTTTGAGCTACTTATGCTTTGATTTTACTTGAAGAGATAAATTCATCCATTTTTATCAGTTATAAGAGTCTCTGTGTACTGTAGTCAATTTTAAATCATTGCATAGAAATGTAAATTTTTGGGTAAATGTTCAGTTTTCTCTCTGAATAGCATACTTGGGGCTTATCTCAGAACTATTTTATTTGGATATAGGTGTGCCTCATTTGAAAGATAAATAATATATTAAGATTTTAAATGCTGCTTTTGGAGTATAAGTGAGGGATTATAATGTCCTTTTTTTTTTATTTGTTTGTATAGATACATTGAAGCAAAACTGTTATCAAGGAGTATAATTAACATTATTAAGGCTAATTATATAATTAAGGTAATTTTGTTTTATTATTTGACCAGATATTTATTTAACTCTCCATTTTCCTCTTCCCTCTTCCCCTGGCAAACATTTTCTTTTTTCCTGATGGATTTGCCTATTTTAGGTATTTCATATAAGTGGGATCATACAGTATGGTAGTTAAGTTTGTGTGTCAATTTGGCTGGGCCTGGCTGAGTAGCCCGGCAGCTGGATGAGTATTCCCCATAATAAGACTGGTAATCAACTCCATGGTGGAATATACTGTGAGGAGCTGAGTAGCTGCCTTAAGGAATGTGGTCTGCTTCCTGTATGTAAGCAGAAGTCTTGGGGAATGGTCTCTAGCCTATGACACGCTTGGACCCTGCATGTAGCTGTGTCGTTGTTCAGCAGCCTGCCATGCCCTGCTGACCTTGGGACTTTCAGTGGACTTGAGTTAATGGCCTGCCGTGTGGTTTGGTAACATTGGGACTGTGCCATTTTATTTGTCAACCTTGGGTCTGTTAGTCTCAGTAGCCACTAGCTGCCGAGTGAAGAGATGCCTTTCGCTTCAGTGGGCCAGGAGCAAGAGGCAGAGCTGAAGCCCAAGGTTGAGGGGCTTTGAAGCCTGGCACTTTGAACTTGGACTTCAAGCCTCCAAATTGTTAAGGCCATCCGGTTTGTGGTATATATTCCGGTCAGAGCAGCACCAGGTAACCAGAACATACAGTATTTGCCCTTTTATGTGACTTACTTCACTTCATTTTGTTTTCAGTGTTGATACATGTGTTGTCAAGAATCAAAATTTACATTCCTCTTTATGGCATGCATTATATGTATATACCACATTTTGTTTATCCATTCATCTATTGCTGGGCACTTGGCTTGTTTCAGTCTTTTGGCTTTGTGAATAATGCTGTAATGAAGATGTATCTTGAGTCTCTGCTTTAAATTATTTTGGTTATATTTCTAGGAATAGAATTGCTGGGTCATATGGTAATTCTGTTTAATTTATTTGTTGTTGTTGTTACGTGCTCTCGAGTCAGACCTGACTCTTAGCGACCCCTCCTTAGGTTTCCAAGGCGGTATCACTACGGAAGTGGATTGCCCAACCTTCCTTCCAAGGACTGGCTGGCTTTAGGAACCACTAAACTATTTTCCACAGTGGATTCACCATTTTTCATTCCCACCAACAATGTATGAGTGTTCCAATTTCTCCATAGACTTGACAGCACTTGTTATTTTCTTTTTATTGATTATAGCCATCCTAGTGAAGGAGCTCTGGTGGCGTAGTACCTAAGGCATTTGACTGCTAACCAGAAGGCTGGTGGTTCTAACCCATCAGCCACTCCGTATGGGCAATCTACTTCCATATAGATTTACCACCTTGGAACCCAAAGAGGTTGCTGTGAGTCAGGGCCAACTCTACAGCAGTGAGTTTGATTTGTTTAGTGGGTGTAAAGTGGTATCTCATTGTGGTGTTGATTTATATTTCTCTAATGACAAATGACTTTGACATCTTTTCATGTGTTTAATGGTCATTTGTATATATCCTTTAGAGGAGTGTCTATTCAAGTTCTTTACCCATTTTTTTTTTTTAATTGTGATTTGGGTGAAGATTTACAGAGCAAATACACTTTCCATACAGCAGATCACATACACTTTGTCTCATGACATTGAGCACAATTTAGCACAATGCAACATCTCCTCTCCCACTTTCTCCCGATAGCCACCTCTTCCCTGTGTAAACCACAGCTCACCACAATGCAACAGCTCCCCTCTCACTTCCTCCCCATAGTTACCGCTTCCCAGTGTCCATCCCTCCATACTCTCCTGCCCCCTGAGCTGTCTCCCTGTACATAAGCAGCCCTTCCTTCTCCCATGATTGTTCTCCCCAGGGCGTGTGTCTACTTGAGGTAAATGTTTAACTCACATGCCTGTACTTTGTTTGGCTGGAAACCACAGGTGTGGGTTCAATTCCAGACCTGAAGGGCAGCTAGGGGCCATAGTCTCAGTGGTTCCACCAGGCTCTATTGGACCAGCAAACCTGGTCCCCACCTTCTTTTTTTTTTCCTGCACATGATTTTGAGTTTTGTTCCACATTGTTCTCCCTCTCTATCCAGGATCTCCTACATCCCTTCCAAATGGATGACAGTGGTAGCCGGGCACCATCTAGTTCTTCTGGTCTCATAGTTGTATAGGTTGCAGATCGGATGGTGTGCCAGTCGCTAGGACTGATTGTTTCAATTAATTTTGGTTTTCTTCTTCCTTCTTTGCTCTTGACGAGGAGAGACCCATCGTTGCATCTAGATGGCAGCTTACTAGCTTTTAAGATCCCAGTCACTACTCGCCAAAGTAGGAGGTGGAACAATGTTTTGTATAGTATGTTATGCCAATTGAGCTTGATGTCCCCTGCAACTATGGTCCCAAACCCACAGGTTCAACTACTCGGTTGCTCTGGGTAGCTGGCTGTGACCAAGGAGTGGCCACAACCTTGCCCCTTGTCAGCTCTACTATACACCTGGGAATTCTAATCATTCACATAAACTTCTAGGACCATTGTCTGCCAACCCTATATATGATCTTGGATACACTCCCCATTTCATAGACATACCTAATCGTTTAGCTTGTCCACCTATCTCTCCATCCATATACCCATGTTTGCCTTCACTGACAACTCAGTACTGTATATGCAAAAGGGTTCATATTTGTTGTCTGTACTTCCCATGTACCTCTCTATGTCTTTCTCATCCTCAATGCTGCCATATTGGTCACTCACATTTGGTACATTGCCCTTCTCTTCACCCAAATCAATATTTATCTCTATCTATCTAACAGCGTTCCCTCCCCTCCCCTTACACCCCTGGTAACCAACAAAGAAAATGTCCTGCAATAGATAAACCTTTCCTTAACTTTTACAATAACGGACTAATACAATATTTGTGCTTTTGTGACTGACTTATTTCACTCAGCATAATGTCCTCCAAGTTCATCCACGTTATGCGGTGTTTTGCAGATTCTGCATTATTCTTTAGCGTTGCAAAGTATTCCATTGTGTGTATGTACCATAGTTGGGTTATCCATTCCTCAGTTGATGGACATCTAGGTTGTTTCCATCTTTTGGCTATTGTAAATAGTACTGCAATGAGCATGGGTGTGCATATATCTGTTCTTGTCATTCTTTGCCCATTTTTAAGTTGGGTTGTTAGTCTTTGTGTTTGAGTTTCAAGTGTTATTTGTATATTCTGGATATTAAACTCTTATCTGATACGTGGTTTCTAAATATTTTCTTCTATTCTGTAGGTTGTTTTTTTCCTTTTTTTTCCACCATTATGGGGTTTATTAGGGAAGTTGCTTTGTTGTTGTTAGGTGCCATCTAGTCACCTCCAGCTCACAGCAACCCCATGTACAACAAAACAAAACACTGCCCAGTCCTGTGCCAGCTTCACAATCCTTGCTATACCTGAGCCCATCATTGCAGCTACTGTATCAATCCATCTCATTGAGGGCCTTCTCCTTTTTTGTTGACCCTCCAGTTTACTAAGCATGATATTCTTCTCCAGGGAATGGTCCCTCCTGACAACATTCCCAAAGTAGGTAAGATGAACTGGCAAGTTATAATTCAGGATGAGAAATGACCCAGGATACAGCCTCATCTCAGCAGTGCCTGCAGGCACACCTTTTTCTGTCCCTGCGCCTGTTGGCCCCGCGACCCCTTAGCCACTGCCCTACTCAGCTGAGTGTTTTTCTTTTTTTTTTATTGTTTTAATTTTCATTGTGATTTGGGTGAAAGTTTACAGAGGAGATTGATATTCCATCCAGCGGTTCAGCTCTCTTCCCACATCCTCTGCATAGTTACCTCTTCCCTGTGTCCTTCCCTCCTGTAAACTTCCCTATGTCCTTCCCTCCTGTATACTCCCACCCCCATGCTATCTCCCAGTGCAAACACTGCCTTTCTATTCTCCCATGATTGATCCAAATAGTGTAAATGTTCACCCCATATGCCTGTCTGTTGTTTTGCTGGAAGCCACAGGATTGAATTTAATACCAGACCTGAAGGGTAGCTAGGG